TTTTTTTTTTTTCAATGAACCCTGACCATAGGACTTCAATGTTCTCTCTTCCCTTGCTGTTCTATGGAGCAGCTCAATACTGCACCATGTGATTCTAATAAACTTTCGGTTGACTGTGTTTGCCTTCCATCTTTTGAGTTAAAGAACTCATGGTGCTAGTGACAGGACAGCTACAATACCTAGAATAATTACCATCTAGCCTTTTAGGAAAAAAGCTTGTTTTTGTTCATTTGGTTTGAGTTTTTTTGAGGCAAGGTCTCACTATGTAATACAGGCTGGCCTGGAACTCGCAGGAGGCCTTAGCCTCCCGAGTGCCAGGATTACCACCACCACACCCACTTTATGAGAAAAATCTGCCAAGCTCTGACCTTAGTGGCCAGAGAAGACCCAATTAGGGGTCTCAAACTCAGATGCTGCTTCCAGTTACAGTTAGCCAACCTACTTAAGAGTTCTGTTTCCCACAATCTAGGTTGGACAGGTGGCTGGCTGGCTGAAGATGGAAATTTCTTGTCCTTCTAAATCCAAACTGTTTCAACATCCAGGTTGTGCTATTGCATCATCAACGGGGCCTTTTATTATCTGCAATCTTGGTCACTAATCCAACTTTGTAAACCAATGTAAAAACTAAATTCTTTACCTTAGATTAAGATTATAAACAAGTATGTATAAATGTGCAGCTATTAAATATCAACAAAAGGGCAAGTTTATTAAAACACTAATTTAATTGCAAATCCACAAACACAAACCCACATTAGGAAATTAGACTTTAGGATTTTATACAAACTGTAACACAAAATTAATAGACTCTGATGCTATGAGTAATATGCACATTGTTATTCTTTCTCTTTTACTAGTTTCTCTATCCTTGGAATTAATGACGTGACTGCAAGTCTTAAGGCAGGGCCAGAAACCAAGAAATTTCTTTGTTTTGACTCTGTCAACGCTGAAAAGGTAGCATCACATAAATAGACGGTTGAGAAAGGCAGTAAGACTTTCATTGCCTTCTCATGGAGTTCTGGGTAATGCGTCTTTGCATTTATCCAAAACTGAGTTACAGACATCGATTTAAATACTGACTGAAATCCTAAATCTGAAGATAACTGTATTAGTTTCTCTTCTTCAAAGTCAGTGAGATTATTATTTTGGTGATTCATGAAAGGGTTAATTACCCACAGATTCCCTGAACGCAAGTCATCCTCTGGTGGGTAACAGTCATTAAATATTTGAGAAAGTCCTTTCAGGTGCTCAAAAATAATGCTTCTGATGTTTCTCACATTCACATCTGATGAGGCTGAGAATTCAGAAAATGACGGGAACATGTCATAATCATTCTCTTGTGTGCGCTTCAACCACAGTTTTAATTTTTTCTTAAATACATCAATTTTATTATATAAAGTGAAGAAAGTAGTCATGGTCCCCTGGAGACTTGAATTTAATTCATTTATAAGTGAAAATATATCAGCTAAATAGGCCAGTTTTGCAACCCATTCTGGATCATGAAAATACTTTGCCAGATCTGAATGCTTTTGATTTAAAAATATTTCCATTTCATGTCGCAATTCAAATAATCTTGTTAAAATTCTTCCTCTTGATATCCAACGCACTTCAGCATTAAGAGGTAGATTCACACGCTGAGATCCCATTTCTTCACACAAAATTGTTAGCATTCGTGAATTCAACAAATTGCTCTTTACAAAACTTAAAATTTGTGCTGACTGCAAAAGAATTTCATGTAAGCATGGAGACAACTTTTCAGCTGCTAAATGTTCACGATGAATAAAACAATGTGTAAATGCCACTGAATTCACAGCAACTTCTTGAATTTTCGCCCTTAAGCCAGAACATCTGTCAGTCATACTTGCAGTCCCATCAGTACAGAGACCAACACAATATTTCCAGTTCAGAGATTTACTATCAATGTATTTGTTTATTAGCTCAAATATTTCAAAACCAGTGATTTCAGAAGGCATTTCAATGCAGAATAATAATTCTTCTCTTATATCACTGCAATCATAATCAATGAAACGAATATAGCATAAGAGAAGGGTCATAGCTGAGATCTCAGATGACTCTTCTATCTGAAGGGCAAACCACCTGGACTCTCTGACCTTTTGAATCAGCTGATCTTCAATGTCTGCAGACAGTTCATCAATCCTGTAGCCAATTGTATTATGAGAAAGAGGAATGGTTTTCATTTTGTCTCCAGCACTTGAACCCAAAACCTCTGAACACATTTCTACCAAATATGGTTTAATTAGTTCTTCTGCAATAGAGAATGGCTTCTTGCTGGCAGCGATTTGGAAAGCAATTAAATAAGAAGCCTTCACAAGTGACTTTTCAACTAGTAAACACTTTTTTAAAGAACTGTTTTGACATTCCATTTCAAGAGATTTCTGCTCAAAAAAATCTACTGGCTTATCTTCTAATTCTGAATGTTTTGTCTTCAAGTGATGAGAAAGGTTTGCAGGCTTCATGTTTTCGCTGGATAAGATCTCTCCACAGATGACACACTGTGGTCTTGGGGGACTCTCTTTCGATCCAGGACAGATAATAAAACCAACTTTTAAATACTCCGGATCGTAAGTCTGGAAAAAACCTATTCTTTTTTTTGCAGGTGGAGAGTCATGTTCTGCGTCACGTTTCTCATCAGGCATAGGTAACTCTGAAGGAAATATGTGGATCACTGTTAGGTTCAAGAGCAAATAAGCAAAGTTCTTTATTTTTTCCTCACATATTTAAATTTTATATTTGGCTACTCCTTGTTTTTATCAAAAGAACACCCTGACAAAACAAACCATAGTCCTTCATGACACCATAGAAACTGAATTCTCAGGGCCGGGGAGATGGATCAGTAGAATAAGCGCTTGCCTGGCAAGCACAAGGGCCTGAGTTCAATCCCCAGTTCTGCAAAAACAAATGAACAAACACAAAACTGAATTCTCCTTTGTCCAAAGCTTGGCAACTGGCTATAATAAAACTGGAGGTTATGGATCAGGTATAAGTAATCCCAAGTTTACAACAGATTTCTAAAGTTAGCTCTGAAGCCTAAAGAATACATCAAATTAAGAGTAAATTGCTTTTTTATGGTCTTTTTGAAACAGGGTTTCACTATGCATTTCAGTCTGGCCTTGAACTTGCAGAGATCCTCCTGCTTCTGTCTCCCTGGGATTACAAACCCAGCTCTCTTTTAAAAATTAAAAAAATTATAAGGAGTTAATATTAGTGAATCTAGATAAAGGATGTGCTGATATCCATTATGCTGTATTTTGAACCTGTCTGAATTGTGAAATTTTTCAAAATTAAAGTGGGGAAATATAAGGGTAATTACTGACTTTAAAAATCAGTGTCAGTAAGTGTAGAGCAATGGATCCTCTGTAACACTGACGGCTGAAATATAAACTGTCAGGAGGGCTATTTAGTAGCAGATTTCAAAAGCTTTACCCTATGATAGCTGGGCATAGTGGCACATGCCAATACGGAGGCACAGAAGGTCCCTGCAGGTTCAAGGCCAGCCTGGGGTGCAGAGTGAGGTCAAGGCCAAGATGAACTACATGGTGAGCGCTTGTCTCAAAAGACAAAATAGAAAATCTATGATGATCTTTGAGTCAGTGATTCCACTGCTTTGTTTTTATCCTAAAGACATAATCAGACAAGTGGACAAAGACCTGTTGACACAATTTAACTAACTAGACATTACTTATAGGCTGAGGATATAGCTCAGCAGCATAAGCACCTGCCCAGCAAGCACAAAGTCCCAAGTCTGTTTCCCAGAACCAAAAAAAAAAGGACATTACTTATGAATATTAAAGTCTAGGGCCTGGAGGTATAGGTCAGAGGCAAGGCACTCTCTAGTATGTGCGAGAGCCTGCATTTGATCAGAGGTGGGGATGCTGACAAAAAAACCTAAAGATCCAATTTATAGAATTAATATCATATACACTAGAATCTATGTCTATTATGAATATCAGTGTAACTGGGTGTGGTGGCTCATGCCTATAACCCCAGTTACTTGGGAGGCTGAGGTGGGGGGACCACAAATTCAAGGTCATCCTGGACAAACCAGTGGTACAGAGCCCCTAGGTTCTATCATCAGGACCCCCCCCCCACTCTCTCTCTCTCTCTCTCACTATATGCATTTAAATTTCTATTGATATGGACTTTTTTTATCCTGTGAGCATTATTTTATTTTTTCCCATAATTTTATTAATAGCAATGAGACAGTTTCAAATCAAATCACTAGGACAGTTTCAATAATTAACACACTGCATATATTCTTCTTAGTGGTTAATTGCTGTACAAGATGCGGACCTGAGATCCTATTTACAAACACCATTAGAACAAATCATTCTATTCATTAAGAGAATGCAACTATATATCTATCCCAACCACTTTGAATGCACAGATACAAAATGGACATTCATCTGTATACCCTTTTTTTGTTAAGTTCTGTTATTTGAATATTATAGGTGTGTAAACTCAGCAAAATATTCTAAAAGAGTCCAGTAGCCCGTAATAGCATTGGGTCTTCTGTTTAACTGGCAATGTCAGAAACTGTTGACCTGAGTCCCCCACAGCTCAACATAACAGCATGGCTTTACTTCCTATATTTCGTCTTCATACTTTTCTACTGGACGGTTAAGACCAAGGTAAAGCAGGACCTATGCAACAAGAGTTGTAGCTTTTTGGTCTGAGAAGGTCAGTGAAATGCCCTCAGGATTTATCCTGAGATCCTGTACCTCAGACTGTAGAACCTTTGTCAGTGTCAGCCATGTGGGATATGGACTGTTTTCAATGCAATGTAAAATGACAAAGTACCTTACAACAGTAGACATATAAACTGCACTTTTAGTACAGTTAACAACTCAGTTGAGTGTTTAAAAAATAAAACTGTTAAATCAATTTTAACCAAATCCTTATTTTAGTAATTCTAATAGTTTGTACATTTAGAAAACAATTTACCCATGTAAGAGATATTTGTCTACTCTGCACATAATGTTCTGTGTACATGTGGATTCAAAGTATGTGATCTACAAATTAGTGAATGTTTTCACATTCAAGAAATTGGCAAATACATTCTTTAAACAAAACTAAAGCAGCTGGGCATAGTGGCACACTCCTGTAATCCCTTGGAAAGCTGAGGCAGGAGGATTGCCGTAAGTTTCAGGCCAACATAAGAGAATTCAAAGCCAGCCCACACTACATAGCAAGACCCTATCTCAAAAAAGAAAAAAAACAAAAAACAAAAAACAAAGTAAAGCAAAAAGAAGGAAATAAAATAAACTTTTTTTTTTTTTTTTTTTAACGGTACCTGGGATTGAACTCAGACCCTTGTACTTGGCAGGGAAGCACTCATTCTACTGAGCCATCTCCCCGGCCCCAACAAAAACTCTTGACAGGGAAAGCACAAGAACACGTACCTGTCTGACATTCCTTGTGTTGTGTATGTGGTTTGCAAGAGATGGCCTTGGTCTGTGTGGCAGGTCTGCACAATATACCTTTGTTCTTTAAAAGTTTGGAAAGTTGAGAAGATTGAGAAGACAGAAGTTTCATAGCCTCTGACTGTGCATTTCCCTGGCAAGTTCAAAAACCAAAGACAGTTTTTAGTATATTATCACTGACTAATAATTATATGAATGATGATGCATCAAAAGAAATACAATTCTGAAAAACAGTTCCACAAGAGGCATACTTTGGAAAATATGCACTTTAATTCCTAATTCCTCTTCAGTATTAGTTCCATTTAGTGATTTTTAAAGACACTCAGAGACCGAGGGTCGAGCTCAGTAGGGAGGCCCTGAGTTTGATCCCTAGCATTCGAAGACAATAACAATAATAAAATAGCAACTCTATAGTGTGATCTAAATAATGATAATTCTTGTTCAATAGCAACTAGTCACTAATATAAACTGTATCTAATCACCAACTATATGCAAAAATACATTATCAATTGAAGACTTCAACATGAAGAAAAACCACCTTACAATCATTGGAGAGTTTTCACATTATTAGAGCACAGAGAATATATATATTTTTTGAGAATATATATACATATATATTTATGTATTTAGTACAGGGTCTACAGGATCTCACTACACAGATTGGATTTGTAGTCATCCTCTTGTTTTCAGCCTCCCAAGCACTGGGATTACACTGGGATTACAGGCCGCACCACCACCCCTGCTCTCAATCACTGGCTCAGCACACCCCAGCGGGGGCAAGCACAGCACACTGGGGATCAAACCCAGCTACTGGGCTCTGCCTAAGCAAGAGCTTTAGTCTGCTGAGCTATCTGGCCAGTCCAAGAATATATTCTTTTTTTTTTTTTTTTTTGGTGGAACTGGGGATTGAACTTAAGCCCTTGTGCTTGCCAGGCAAACGCTAATT